TTGGGGGTCTCCTACTGTCAAGCAATGCCCAGTGTGGACACAGCCAGTTCACTTCCTATTACCTGAACATCAAGATGTAGAACTCTCAGTCAGGACCCCGCCAGCTCCATGTCTGTCTACATCCCACCATGATTCCCCATGATGATAATGGACGAACTGTAAGCCATCCCCAATAAAATGTTCTTCTTTTTAAGAGTTTTCATGGTCATGGTGTCTCTTCACAGCAACAGCAACCCTAAGTAAGACGTGACTCTTGGCCTAACAATGCTCCGCACAAGAACCATAGACTTAGTCAACAGAAAAACTCCAGAACCATGCAAAAAAAAAAAAAAAAAAAAACCTTCTTTTGCATAGTTGCTCAGAGTAGTCTCCAAGTGACTTCCAAACAGTATACACTATCAATGTAGCCCTTGGTTGCCTCTCAGCGGCTGAATGGAAGCCCCTATTGCTGATAAGTGTTATCTAGTCTATGAGAATTAGCGTCTCCCATGGATGAACCTCTTCTTGACTATCCAACACAAAGCAGTCAGTCCTGAAACCATATACACACAAAGAACAAAATGGACTCAGCAGCAGGCTGTGCTTGTATATCTGTGTATACATGTACATACACACATATATATGTATGCTACAGTAATAATCAAGGTAAAAGAGGCTACCAATTTATAGTATTGGGAGAAAATAAAGAAGGAGGAATGAGGATGGATAACTTAATGCAATTCTGTTTTAATTAAAATATATAAAAATTAAAAATAATTTATTAAATTACATTGAATGTATTAATTATAATTTATAAGTCTAATCATTAAAAAATAGTACTGCTATTTTGGGGGAAATGTCCTTCATAAATATAAGATAGATAAAGGTTTTCCCAAACAAGCAAAGGCTAAGGGGAAGGGCACCTGACATACCCTACAGGAAATGTTGGAATAAGTCCCCCAAGACCAAAGTAAAAGATGCTTAACACAGAAGCACAAGAAATATAAAGTTTTTAGATCACAGTAACTACATAGACAAACACATGAGCACTGCAGTGTTGTAAGAGTGGCACAGAAAGACATTTTAATTTTGGTATTGGCATTAAAGACAAAGGTGAGAAGCAAGCTATAGCTATAAAAATGTCATTTGTACAGTAATAACATAAAGAGAGGTGGTGTTATAAAAAATGGGAAGTTTCTATTTATGGTTAAACTTAAACATTATTAACTGAAAGTAGATTCATGTATCTTATGTTTTATGTAACAACACCCCATGATAACCACAACAAGAAAACTCATTGAATAGACATGAAAAAATGATTAGAAAATAAAGTATATCCCTGCAAAATGTCAACAAGGAGCAAAGGAAGACGGTAAGAAACAAAGGGAGAAAGAAAACAGTCAAAAACAAACAAGACAAACAGAAAACAAAAGGCAATGCGTCCATCCGTATCAATGACTGCTTTAAGTGTCCATGGGTCAAGTTTCCCAGTCAAAAGATGTAGCCGACTGAATGGATTAACATCCCTGAACCAACCTTATGCCATCTATAAATGACTCCATTCAGATTTAAGTGAAAGAATGGAAAGATAGTAGCCAAAACACAGCAGGATAACATACTTATTTTTTAAAAAAAAAAAAGTAAAATGGTATGTGTATGTTAAAATATTAAAGGATCCAAAATGACTAATGTTTTATCAACAAGATAAAGCATTGAAGAACATGAATATTTATGTATCTTAAGGATCTTTTAGCTCCTGTTTTATGTGGGTGGAGGAACAGCATCCGGCGTTCCAGAAACAGCTGGATAGAGGTGAGCACCCACAATTGGACATGCTACACCCCCACACATCAGGAAGTACAGAGGAGACAGGAAGTGGGGCTGGACAACTAACCCCAAGGCCCACTTACCAGGGACCACCTTGGTACCATTTGGTCCCATTTTCCAAAGACGTGCCATCACCTGGGAACCATGTGAGCACAGAAACCTGTGAAGGACAATTTATATCCAAGCCAGAAGAGTACCCAACATCAGAGCACCTACAAATATGAAAGAGGCACTGCCAGAAATGTAACTCTATAATAATGTTTTAATTCTCATTTTTCAATAATAGAACACATATAGATGATAGAGAAATGGCAGAGAGAGCAACACCTTGGATCAATGAGCACCCCAGACCCATAGGATATTCCACCCAACAGCAGTGAAAGACACATTCTTCTCAGGTACGGGTACATCATAGGTGAGTTCACTAAGGAAACCGTCACACATTTAAGATGATGGAAGTCACACCAAATACCTTTTCAGAGCACAATTCCATGAAAATGAAAACAAACGACGAAGAAACAAAACTCACAAGCATGTAGATATAAACAGCACACTCATTAGCAGCCAACGAATCAAAGAAGAAATTAAGGGAACATCAGTAAATATCTTGAGATAAATGAAAGCAAGAACACAGTCAGTCAAAATTTATTAAGCATAGCAGAAACCGCACCATAGGGAATATTTGTAACTCTGAATTCTAAACGGAATAGCTCAAGTGAAAAAATGTAACGCTGCACCTCAAGGAATCGGAAGAGAAACAAAGCACAAATTTAGCAAAAGAGAGAAGTAATAGAAATTACAACAGAAATAAAGACTAGACAATATAAAGATCAATAGAACTAAATCTGACTTTTAAAAAAATCAAAATAGGCAAGGTTTTCAACAAAGAAGAGAACAGAGCAGGCGTGCCCTTCAGAGAGGGGCACTGTGGCCCACGCACTTAGGACGCTGGCATTGGAACATCATTCACAAGTCTAGGATTCAGAGAGAGACCTGGTCTCAAATTGTTTTTAAAGTGTGCTGTGATGGAATAGATAGGAAACTGACTAGAAATCCAAAATGAAGCAGAGGCTGTTACAACTGGTGTACTAGCGTCACCGTTAACAAATTCCTACCCTGTAATCAGTTAACCCAGAAGAAATCCACGGCCTTGGAAAGAGAGAACCTACAGAGACTCGGATGTGAAATAGAAACTCTGAACCCAGCAACGAGATGAAATCAATAATCAGAACATTTCAGAGTGAAAACCAGGGCCAGAGTTCTACCAAACACTTACAGGAGAAAACACAATTCTTTCTCAAACTGTTGAAAAGAAAATTGAAGAACTCATTCTACGAAGTCAGCATTATCCTAAAACCAAAGATAACAAAAAGACATGATGCAAAACTAAATGCAGTCTGACATCACTTATACATATGCATTAAAATGTTCTCAACAAACTACCGACAAACCATGGGATTTATGCTCAGGGCATAAAAAAGGTACAATATACAAAAATCAATCAATATGATACATTACATTGGTAGAATAAAGAATTGAAACACCATAATCAGCTCAAGGCTGGAAAGATTGACTGAGTCCAACAACTGTTATAATAAAAAATAAAAACACAGAAAAGGAGGAGAGAAGCGAATTACATCAGCACAATAAAAGCTGCACAAGAAAAGCCTGGGCTAATAATGCACTCAACAGTAAAAGCCTCAAACTTTTTCCTCTACCTTCAGAGACAAGCAAGGGAAGCCTGCTCCTATTCCAGATAGCATGGAAGTACTAGCCAGGAAAGCAGTAAAATCTCTAAGGAAAAAGTAAAATTATCGACTGGGGAATGACATAAAATACATACATATTTTACACAAAAAAATACTATTAGAGCTAACAAATTCAGCGAAGTTGGAAAGACATATAGCCAATATACAAGCATTGGTTGCATTTATGCACTGGCAAGTGATTTAAAAAGAAAGTTAATTAAACAATGAACTACAGTAACAATAAAAAGAATTGAAACCACGAAGACTAAGCTCAACCAAACAGGTGAAAGACTTGCACGTGGAAGGATACAAACATTTCCAAAATGAACTGAGGAAAACAGGGATGGACAGAAAGAGACTGTGCACATCCTGCTTCTCTCCAGCTCAGAACCCAAACATCCTCTCTACTTGTCGGTGGCTGGGGGAAGGTACTCAGTTCTACACTGCGCCTTCTAAAGCTCACACAGACTTGGAGATACCCATAGACTCTGGTCACTGGGACCAAAGGAGATAGGGGACTTACTAGCACCTTGCCCACAAGGGCTGGATAGCACAGAGAAGGGACAGTGGAACAAAGGAAAGGAGAGAGAAAGTGAGACCCATGGGGACTAGAGAGATGGCTCAGACCTTAAGGGCAATGGCTGCAGAGAATCCAGGCTCAATTCCCAACACCCACAAGACTGCTTACAACCCTCTGTGATGTCACCACTCTATGACACCCTCTCCTGACTTCCACAGGCACCAGACACACATGAGGTACACTTGCATATGTGCAGGCAAAACAGTCATAAGCAGAAAGTAATAGAAATAATTGCTTTATAAAGTTTCGCATAAGCAAAGGCTGGGGAGAAAGGCGATCTGGACTCAGCTCTGGGGGTTGCACAGCAGGTGGGTATTCCACAGGCACCTCTGTATTCTCAGTGCCCAGCTGTGCTGCCTAAAGGGAGCTCTGGGGTGGTCACACCAAGCTTTTCTGACTTCCATTAAAATATAATTAGATCACCCTCCTTTCCCCCTCCCGGCCCCTCCCATGCCCCTTTTCCTGCAGCCCCTCCATCTCCTCCTTACTCCCTCTCAAACCCAGGACCTCTGTGTCTGATGACTCTTTATGAACAAATGCATAACACAACCTGCTGAGCACGGTTAGTGTTGCTTGATATGATTTCAGGACTAGCCACTTGGTATTGGAAAACTGATTTGAAATATAAATCCTTGGTCTTTCTTTCCCCGCAAACCTGCAGCTAACACTCGCATGTTGTCTTGGTCAATATCTAGCTTGCAACATAGCACAACCTTGGCAGAATGCAGCTGAAACAAGCCTGTGGGGAAAGGTAAGCTGTAGGCGAAACCGCAGACAGGAGAGAGAATGGAGCTCCCATTCCCTCTAAGACCAGGAAAATGAGAGCAGTAAAGGAAGTCTGGGGAACAAGAAGGCATATGAAATACTTGCAAAAACTTGACTTCAGAAAGCATCTCCCTGAGGGGCTGCAAAGGTCTCTCTAGTTGCTCCTCTACCACAGTTTGCTGTCCTGTCTGCTGAAGGCTTGGTGGGAGGAGCCTGAAGCCCAGGGCCTGTCGGACTTGGGAGTGTGTTAAGTAAATTTGTTCAATCAGATAAAGCTTAGGGCACTTTTGCTCACAGTATCTTGTTGTAACAAGCAGACGGGAGGGCGAGAGTGTCAGGGAGTCCCCAACCACTCACAGATGAGCAATACACACACACACACACACACACACACACACACACACACACACACGGGGGGTGGGGGATAGAAATTCAAGAAAAAAAGGGAGATAGGGAAGAGAGAGGAGAGGAAAGAGAGAGGGGAGGGAGGGAGGATGGTCTCTTACCTCTTGCTCTGTCAAGAGGAGACAATGGAAAGGGGACCAGTGCTGACCAGTGCTGACCAGTGCTGACCAGTGCTGACCAGTGCTGACTAGCCACCTGGCCCACACTACTACCCCATTAGAGATAAGGCTTTCTTGAAAATTTTTTGGTAAGGCCTCTATTTTTGCTTTTTATTATTTGTATAGACAGATACACATACATGCTTGATACTATTACTTTAAACAGCATATTATCTGTTGGATCAATGAAGAACAATAAAAGAAGGTTTTGTAATTTACTTTCTCTTTCTTCTTTCTTTCCCTTGGCCCAGATTTCTGGCTTCCATCTGGCTTCCTCTCTGAAGACTTCCTTTTAACACTGCTTGCGTCTGTTAGGAACAGCTTCCCTAATCTTTCATCCTAAGACTCTTTCTGAAGGACGCTGTTACAGACCACGGAACTGTAAGAGTTTCACAGAATGTAGAATGGCCTGCCAGGCCATTAGGCTAGGCACTGGCATCTGCTTGTGAGGAGAAGGTAGACTTAACTCATCCCTTGTTCTCTAAGCTTCTCTGCCCTCTTTCAAGAATTTTCCTTAGATGTAAATCCCTCTGATTTGACAGGGCACACTGTTCTCATCCTTTGGGCTTAATACTTAGTGAACTTCCTGGACGTGAGGGGTGTGTGTGAGGATTTGGGGTTTTGTTGTTTGTTTGTTTGTCTACTGGAGAGCTCCTCTGAGACAGGATCTCACTCTGAAGTCCATGCTGGCCTGGAATTCAGTATGCAGCATATTTGAACTTGGGAGGAGGCCCTCCTGGCTCAGTTTCCAGAGTGTTTGGGTTCCGAACATGCATGTAACTGCTTTTCTTCCCTTTTGAAGCCTTCTAAGCTGCGTATCACAACCCCAAAGGTCTCTGATATATTTGTTTTTTCTTTGACTTTGGGCAGTTTTGTTGCCATACCTTCAAACTCAGAGATCATTGCCTCTGCAATGATCCAGTGCAACAATGTTATCAGACATGCCCTTCTCCTGCTACAGCATGCTTGACTAAATGCCTGATCTCTCTACTTTGTCTCCTTTTCTAATGCCCTGCTACGTATGTACCCATTACAACCCTCTGTTCCTCATTCATAAGTCACAGCTGTTTGGAATGCCTGGCCCAATGACCACTATACCCCTGGTGTGTCTGAATGATTCCAATGCTTTCTTTGTATCTTCCAACTGTTCTTTCGCCTTTTAGTCTACCTTGTCTTCTTTATTGATAGCTTGATAGCTAGAGAGGAGACACTGAGGAAAGGGAACTGGAGCCAATAGGCCAGTAGTAGCTTTGTGTCTGGAAGGAGGGGATTCTATAGCCCTGTGAGTCTGCTAGTCAGTAAGCCTGTGCCCTGGACTGTGACCTTCATGTGTGTTCTTCCTTTCTCTGCTTGTCAGTAGAACAGAAGAGCCTGAGTGGCCTGGAGTTGGGTGCTTTCTTCCCCTCAGGTCAGCCAGTCTCTGGTTGTCTGGCTTCTTCCGTGTGAGCAGATTTTAAAGCAGAATGCTCCGTAACTGATCATCTTCCCTCTTCTCTGCCTGAAGCATGCACTTTTCTCCAAGACTCACGATGATGCCAGGTCGTGCTCCTAGAGATGAGACTCAGAAGAGTGTGAGGTCCCATGAGCCTGGATTCCCGAGTTTTCTGTTGCAGCCTTGGCTACCCGGAGGCTGCAGGAATTGCCACTTGTGATGCACGCAGCCCCACTGTGACGTTCATCCCCATAAGTTGGTTGCCATGAGTTTCTGCTCCAGCAAGCTGGTTTTGGTTTTGGTTTTCGCTTCTGAGCTCACTAAATGCTCTCCCCCCCCCCACTACAGCAGGTGGTGCTTGCTCCTGTGACTCCACCCCATTGGCAAACTGAGCTGTTGACAGGGCATCTCTGCAGATAGCCAGATGGACGCGTTCCCCATAAAATCTTGTGGAAGGTTTTTGAGAAGACTCCCCACATAACAGAGGCAGATCTCAAACTCAGGACATCCCAGACTCTAGCACCCAAACACAGTGACGGTGAAGAGTCCTGTGATGCTACAGCCAAAAGATTTGAGTACCGGTATCCATGCAGGGTGTGTACACAGTGTGATGATTAAAAGAATTGTGTAGTTTGATATTGTAGCACAGTCACATGTGTATACTGTCACTTCTTTCTCCCTTCCTCCATCCCTCCCTTCCTCCATCCCTCCTTTCCTCCATCCCTCCTTTCCTCCATCCCTCCTTTCCTCCATCCCTTCCTTCCTCCCTCTCTCTCTTCCTCCATCCCTCCCTTCCTCCATCCCTCCCTTCCTCCATCCCTCCCTTCCTTCTTGTCCCTATCCCAGGCTTATGACTTTTGGTTTGCTTCATGACCCTTCATGACCCCTCTAGTCTAACCAGGGCAATCTGAAACACATTTCAAACCAGCTTTAGGGAGGTCTCTGTCATGTGCAGCCTCTGTGGCATGGGTCATTTCCACAGAAATTCCCTGAAGAACCTGATACATCTCAGTGATTGACAGAACTCAAAGTCTGCTTGGACCCTCCCTTCTGACCCAGCCTCAACCATGGACACATGTCCCTTGGCAGAGTCACAGAGGTGGAGGGGAGAAATGATTTTGAAAATGACTAAGAGCAAATCAAAGTCCCACTGCTAAACAAGGCTTGTGTCCGACGCAGCAGTGTGGAATTTTAACATGGCTGTCGTTCATCACCTTTCCAAAAGCTGCTCCCGAAAGTGAATCTGCTCCACAAAGCCTATACTGCTTGTGTTCACAGCAGTTTCTTCAATGGATCTGACGAGCTGCGACGTGATTTGTTTCGCTCATTGTTTATTGTCTATACATGATGCTAAAAGTGATGCTTCTTCCCTGTCTGAGAGATAAAGGTCAAACTTAGAAATTTCTTCCATTCCCTGTAAGTTTATAATGTCTGAACAGCGTGCTTGGCATTTTCATCTGTCCTCCCTCCTTCTCCTCCTCCTCCTCCCCCGTTGATCTCATTTAAACTCTGTTCTGGGGATCAGACACCCAGTTACCTTCCCTGTCAAGGGTCCTGTCCGCTTCTGGAATTTTAAAAATGAGAATAAACCAGCACACAATTTCCTCAATTTGGGGGTTTATGTCAACAAAAAAGCATCCTGTTCAAGCTGATGGGACTCTATTTCATAGTCGCTCTACGACAGCTTCCTGGGCCCACCTAACAGACTCCCTTAAAAACAGAGATGCTTCCTGCTGGCTTGCCCCGTTCACAGAACACCGTTTTGCAAAGCGTGCACCTTAGATCAGAGCTGAAGACAAGAAAGCGTTCCCTGGCTCTGGCTCAGCTCCAAACCTTTGATATGCCAGAGCATACCACTTCCCCTGGTGCCTCGGTCCTCCACTGCGCCTGAGAGAGAGGCCAGAGGAAAGGTCTCTCTCTGTGTGACTTCATGAGCCTGGGTGGCAAGAGGAAGGAGGATGGACGAAGGGTGCTTACAGGGCTTTTCTTCTGCCCTCTTTCTCAAACACCTGACTGGACAGCTAAGAACTGGAATAGACCCCAGGCTGGCTCTGAGCTAATATTTGTCCTCCTGGAATCAGAAGAAGGTATGGTTTGAGTCTTGACCTGAGAATCAGAAATCTCCGAATTGAAGACAGCTTTGTCTCAGAATACAGCTGCAAAATCTGCCACATAGGTTTCAACGATCACGACAAAGAAATGGATCCTAAATCAGCCACTGCTACTGCTCAAATCTAATGAAATGAATACAGAAACCTGACTTCCACAGCCAGGGGAGATAGGATGGGGTGGTAGAAGGGAATTAACCCACTGACACCCCACTCATCCAACCAGCGGTCGGCACACATTTATTAGCCATGGGCTGTAACCAAACTATCTGTGCCAGACAGACCCGGGGACTTGTAGGGAACATACACATTTGTTGTCTCTCTTGTGACATTTTTAAAGCCACTGAGAAAATGCAGCCTTCCAAGAAACGCGGGGAGGACATTAAACATTCCAAGAGAAGCAAAGTAGGCCTTTGAGAATTTGAATAATATCTCAGGTATACGTAAACCCGGATGCAGAAAGGTGTCTTTCTTCTCTGTTCAGTAAATTGCACGGCACTGCGGTGCAGTCGTCTCTTTTACAAAGCCTGGGCAACGAGAGGAAATTGTTTACAGCTCTCTTTTGCACTGGGGAGAAGAAGCAAGAACGAACAAAACTCATCCAAACGCTGGTGGGAAGAGTCTAAAAAAACAGAAAGGGAACAAATCTGGCCTGTACCGCACAAGCGCTGTGCTTTCCTGGTCCAAGTACAAGACCTCCCCAGCCAGGAGAAAAGCAGGTGCTCCGGGGTATCCTTTGGAGCATTCTGTGAACTGTCCTCAGCCAGCATAGAGTCCTGAGGGGGAGTAGATGTGGCCCTCGTCCTTGGTGTGCGCCACCAACGCAGGAGAGCGCCGCCCCCTAGCGACCAAAATGGGAGACGCCTTTCAGATTGAGCCTCTCAGGAGCTGCGTGGAGGCAGGAACTGCGACGGTTGAAAAGGATGGGCGATCCTTTGCAAATAACGTGTATGACTGGGAAAGCCTTGAGACCCTTTATGAACTCTCGAACTGTTTGTGATATCTTCCTAGGACGAGGGAGATAGGTACAAGCAATGGGTGAATTAAAAGGGATGTGAGAGACACTGATAATAGATCTGAAGAAGAAAGATCTAGTTAGTTAAAACAGCTCGTGAGTGAGACAGGTTAAAAGATTTCGTCCATTATTCCAGATGATTCTGTCTTATGCCCCGTCCCTCCTCTCTCGTGTGCCGACAAAATAGCATGTTACCTCAACTGCCGTTTGACAAATAGAAAAAGACCTAAGATCTAAGCTTCCTGAATAATGGCCATCTACAGACCCAGGAAGTGAGGGAGTGGGCTGTTCTGCAAGCCCCAGCTAGCCTCACCTTCTGCATTCCGACGGACAAGATGTGCAAGACCCAAACCAGGGCGTTCAGGACAGCGTTCCTCATTATTCCCTCCAGACCAAACTCCCGACACACTGACATCACACCTCCCCGCGCCCCCCACCTTACTCATCAAACACCTCCCCCAAAAAATAAAGCCACCCCGTGCAGCACACTGGCGACAGAAAGTCCTGAACCTGGAAGTCAGCCCAGAAAGCAAAGCCCAGATTGATTCCCTCCTGTGTCCCCGGACAACACGCTTCCCAAAAACTGGTTTTTGTTGGCTTTGTTTTGTTTTTACGGTTTCCTTTTGTGGGGGAGGGGGGCTGTTTTGTTTTGTTTTCTGTTCCTGAGGTATTGCTTCTGTGGCCGGAGATCTCACTGATCGAAGGGAGAAAGTTTAGGATACCCAGAAAGTTTCGAATATTGATTTCCATAATCATTAACTGGGTGCCTACTGTGCGTGCGCCCGACGCTGTTAGACAGCAAGAAAATAGAGGCAGATGAAAAATTAGGACGTCCCTGCAGAGCTCTTGGAGAAGGAGGTGGGGGGAAGGGGCAGCTTCACTGAATCCGAGGGTGTCCAGCTTCTCACCGGAACCCAAGTCCGTCTGCCCTTTCAAACACCCCCGCCCACGGTGCCACCGAAGTGATTCATGCAGGGAACGCAGTTTCCCCTCCGTGTCCTCCCCAGAGTTCCTGACTGCGCGGTGGGGGGACCTCCGGCGCCCACTCGCACCCGCCACCCTCGGGGGCCGCGTGCTGCGAGGACGTCCCCTCCCGCCAGGCGTCGGCGCGGGCTGGCGTAGGGCGTGCGTCAGCTGCAGCCCGCTGGCGATTGGGGCGCGGGCGCCTCCTTCGGTTTGGGGCTAATTATAAAGTGGCTGTGGTCGCTGCCAGCCTCGGGACAGCAAGGCAAGCGCTCAGAGCCCCGCAGTCCAGCGACACCGAGGACCGCGACGGTGAGGTCCCCATCTGCCAGCCGCCTTGCCCAGCTCCCCGACGCGCCCGTCTCACACTTGCCTTCTTCTCTCTCCTTTACAGGGTGGCATCTGGGACCCGCTCCTCCAGCAGCCTGCTCCATCCGAACAGCGGCAGTGTGAGTGCCTTAGCCCCCAAGACTCCCGCGCCGTGGCTACCGTCGCCTGTCCCCCTCATTGCATGCCTTCGCCCAACTTTCTCGGGATTCCTCTTTGCCATGGGGGTCCGTGTCCTATTCCCCAAGCGCCCGCTCCCGAGCTGCGATCTCCAGTGTTTGCTCCAGAATCTTGCCCTGGGCAACAGACGCCCGGGAAAACGGGACGCCCTCGGAAGAACAGGTTGCCATCGGGAGGACAGGATGCCCCCGGGAAGATAGAGTGACCCCTGGAAAACAGGATACCCTTCCCCGGAATGCCCCCCCGGAAGACAGGATGCCTTTGGGGGAAGCCCCAAAACAGCCGGAGCCCCTCTGGCTGAGCTATCCCTCAGTCACCCGAAAAGATGTTGGGCTGTGGGCGGGGTCCAGGAAAGGGTGTCTCTGCGGGTCTTGCTCCACAACCTCCCACCCAGCATGGTTCCTTCCTAGGGAACCTTGAGACGGGACAGGTCCCCATGTGCGCATCCTTCTCTCCTACAGCCCATGGCGCGGATCCTGAGACTTTGCACCTGGCTGCTGGCGCTTGGGTCCTGCCTCCTGGCTACAGTGCAGGCGGAATGCAGCCAGGACTGCGCCAAGTGCAGCTACCGCCTGGTACGCCCCGGAGACATCAACTTCCTGGTGAGTTGAATTCTTGGTGAGGGGATATCCTTAGCCATGTTCATGAGGCCAGCCTTGCAGACCTCCACAGGTCCCTCGCGCTGTAAGGTGCATGACAGGAGCCTTTGGTGACCTGGGTGACCCTTGGCACTTCCAAAACGTTGATCCGAATCCGCTCTATCTCCCAATTTGGAACCAGTCTATCTGGGACCCTTAAGAGCTGAGGTATCTATCTACACACAAACCAATATCGTTTTGACCTTGGGGATATGGAACCCCTAGATGTGTTCTCTCAGTACCTCGGATAGCACTCCATCTAGGTTGTCAGAAAGAAGTGGGCACCCCAACTTTAGAACCCAAGCAGGGAGCCCTTCAAACAAGCATCCCGCAAAGAAGGTAATTTTTAAAAAAATGAGAATGCCCCCTCCCTCCCTTACTCTTCTTGAGCTTCCTTAGCCTTGAGTCCCTTCTCTCTGGATAGGGAAAGGATTAGGGGAGAGGTAGGAAAATACCAAGAGAAGCAGGGAAGGACTCCCTAAGAGTCCCACGAACAAGAGAATTCCCCCTTGTCTGGTCTTGACTGCACTTTTGTAATAACGGCTAAAATGACAATTTGATTTGCCTGGGAGAAGAGCAAGAAGACAGCCAGCGCCCAAGGGGCTGGAATCTGTCCAAAGACAGCCGGCCCCACACAGGAGCTAGGGGAGACAAGATGGCTGTTCTCTTCTTCATAGGTGACAGGCTTTCCAATCACGAGGGTGGTCCACTGGGTCTGAATCGTTTTTTTTTTTAATCTACTCTCTCAGTGATCGACTGTCCTGTCTTTGAAAATTCCTTGATAGTTCAGAAGAGAGGGACATGTTAGTCCAAACTGCCTCAGTTCACGCTTGAGCCTTTGAGGGGAGCTTCACGTTTTTGAGATATTAGAAATGGGAAAGAAACAAGAGAGACGCAGAATCTAAGCTGGTGTTTCCAGTTAGGTGTTTGTTTGCTTCGCTGGAATGTTTTGATCCCATGGTCTATTTCAGTTGATGGAGACTAACTTGGCCTTAGAGAGGAATTGTGGGGGGGGGGCACTGTTCCATCTCCGCCTTCTTCCTTCTCCCATAGTCATGAGCTCGTAAGGTTTAACCTTGTGAGGAATGGACTTTAAACGCAGGAGATTAAAACCATACCATACTGAAGGTCACTGTCTGACCCCTGAATTCTGGGGCACAGCCACGGGTATTTGTTGAGAGTCACTGACATTTTAACTCTACCCTCTGCTTGTCGAGCAGAGTCCGAACTTAGGAACTCAACACGTAGTTTAGGGTTCTCTGCCAGCTATATAATGATGATGTGAATTCTAGAAGAGTCTGAGAGCCAGTAATCTGACCTCTAATGGTGGCAGACTGACTAAATCATATGGCTTGGGAACTCAAAGATCACTGACGTTTAACAATCCCTGTCCGAGAAGATGTCACTCAACCGCTCACTTCACCGAGCTCAGAAATGATGCTCATCTCCCTTTCCATCGCTGAAGAGCATGAACAGAGGTCCTTGCCTGACAAGTAGCTGCCAGACAGCAGAGAAACTTCTGGTTTCTCTGTTTCTTCTCAGCTGTCACTCATCACTGACTGCATTGTTGGTGGCCGGGCAGGTAGAGGGGATACATTGTATCCTTGTTACTGGAGCTCTCTGTCCTCTTACCTGCAGTGCAGACGATGAGGGGCGCATGCAGTAAGGACAGGTTAGGGAACACTCACTATCCATTAAAACATCTTTTAGGAAGCCTTCGGTGGAGTGATTTGTTTTCCGTCGCGGTGTACATTTAACGTTGCTGTTTTCTCATTGGCAGGGAATTAGCTAATGGTCAAATATTGCTAAAATTGCAGCTATTCTGAAATTTAAGCTAGAACTCATAGGCAAAATGAGATTGCCTAGCCAAAGGTACAGAGTAAGTCAGTAAATATTTACCAGGTTCCCACAAGATAGGGTAATGGGCATCAAGATGAGAAGTTGCCCTGACGGTTGCTAGAGGTTGCCCTTTAGTGTGCACTAGACCAGAGCACTCAGTGTGCTTCTAAAATGACGTTAGTGACATTCATTTTTGGCCACAAAATCATGGAAATACAGTTTTAGAATGGAAATCTTATTGCCTCTTGTACAGCTTAGCCTTTTAATGATGTTCTGGGTCTTTAATCATCTATTTTCAAGAATAAAATGGCTTATTTTAATTATCTCCTCTATCTTTTACATGCTCTTGTGTATTTAATTTTCTTCAACACGAAATAAAAATAACCATTATAAGTTGGTTAGCTATGTTTCCAGAATATTTTATTGTTTCACGAATAAAGGCTTTCGTTGTGAAAATGGAAATGAAACATATCCATTTTTAAATGCCAAGAGCAGACCTGGATTTCCTGTCGAAATCAAGGGCTGTAGCCTGGTGTCGGTAAGGTCCTTTAGAAGGCCATGAAGCCCCTCCACAGGAAAAAAAATGCTTAGGAACATAATAGGATTTTGCAATGTTATCTAAAATTCATGTTATCTTCATTGTAGGCAAGCAATTGAATTGAAAAAATTGTTTGAATGAGGTCATTTAAGATATATAGCCTAAAGCTGACTATAGCTTGAGTTTAATTGCTCTTTAATAAGAAAGCATAATTGCATGCTGCTAATTCCTCCTTTATTAAAGATATGACTGTATTAGAAAAGACCTGTTTTGTACACCAATGACTTAATCTTAAGAAAGTAATATGAATAACCTGTGCATTTGCATCCAGGTAATTAATAGTGTTTGGTTCAAAATGATGAGATCTGTTTTAATCAGCCATGAAGGGAATCAAGACATCTCATTTTTCAGCTGATCAAACAATTCATATCAAATAAGTGTGGTGTAGTGTTTTGAATGGCTTTCTCTGTAAACTTATTTTGGAATTGCAGATTGTTTTTCTTTAAAGGTTGAAAGTATGGAGGGGATATTTAGGGAATGTCCCTAGTCAGGTAAAGAGAAATTCCTCCCTTGGGGCTCAAAAAGTCTCAAACCAAATTGCATCTCCAGTAGGAAGCAATGCGTCCAGATTGGGTTCCAGAGGCGGCCATTTGAGTTAGAATTGGAGATCCCTCGAAACGATGGGATGAGGCAGCATCCACAGCAAGTCCGCTAAGAAGACTTTAGGACGCACTGGCTCCCTTTTTCCAGTGCTCTCTGGTTCACCGTTTGTTCAGTTTGAGAGTAGAAATAGCCTTTCTCCGTGACAGTGTGTGACATAGATAGCTACGGTCCATCTTGAGCCCCAAAGGGTCTCTTTTGGTCATGCATCTTCTTGTCTTCCCAGGCTTGCACCCTGGAGTGCGAAGGACAGCTTCCTTCTCTCAAAATCTGGGAGACCTGCAAGGACCTCCTGCAGATGTCCAAGCCTGAGCTCCCTTGGGATAGCCCCGACATGCTCAAAGACAGCAGCAAACAGGACGAGAGCCATTTGCTAGCCAAGAAGTATGGAGGCTTCATGAAAAGGTACGGCGGGTTCATGAAGAAGATGGATGAGCTTTATCCTGTGGAGCCTGAAGAAGAAGCTAACGGAGGCGAGATCCTTGCCAAGAGGTACGGCGGCTTCATGAAGAAGGATGCCGATGAGGGCGACACCCTGGCCAACTCCTCCGACCTGCTGAGAGAGCTCCTGGGAACAGGAGACAACCGTGGGAAGGAGAGCCACCCCCAGGAGGGCACTGACAACGAGGACGACAACGTGAGCAAGAGGTATGGGGGCTTCATGAGAGGCCTCAAAAGAAGCCCCCAGCTGGACGACGAAGCGAAGGAGCTGCAGAAGCGCTACGGGGGCTTCATGAGGAGGGTGGGTCGCCCCGAGTGGTGGATGGACTACCAGAAGAGGTATGGGGGATTCCTGAAGCGCTTTGCTGAGTCTCTGCCCTCCGACGAAGAAGGGGAAAGTTACTCTAAAGAAGTTCCTGAGATAGAGAAAAGATACGGGGGATTTATGCGATTTTAAAGCCCTTTCCCCCACAGTGACCCCAGGCGCCCACCAGCCTGCTCCACCCCCAGTGAGCAACTCTCTCATCAATGGTGTTTGTTGTCATTCGCTGCTTGAGCTGTATAGTTGCCCCTGTGGTCTGGATAACTACACTGCCTGAAAGCTGTGATGTGTGGGCTCTGTATTCTTTGGAGTCTTGAAACTCAGTACTGGTCTGTTGCAGCTAATCTCGTTACCACGCTGTAATAGCTTCCGTTACCTCATCCCTCACGTTTTTGACGAGATGTCAATAAATGCTTACTTGTACATAAAAATATAATAAACCCATTACCCCAACTGCACAATGTTCTTGTGAGAAGTGGCTGTCATTTGTCTGTGGGTGTTCGCAGTAAAGGCTCGGCTTGCAACAGAACCCTCAACTGTTGTCATAGCAGGATAATCACCGGTCTCTTTCTCCTGATCCAGGCGACAAAACCTTTCTTATTTAACGATTTGTCTGCAGACTCTTAAATAAAAATAAATAAATGCAATGTAACAAAGTTAGATGCAAAGACAATTTACCCTGTTTTATACAGACAGAAAGTGGAGCCCACAGTGGTTAAGTACTTGGTCTAAATTTGCTCAGGAGTTGAAGCAGGAGTGAGATTAAAGCCCTACACTGTTCCCAGTCAATAACTCTACACCCATTTCCTCTCCTCCCACCCAGATCTCCAGGAAGAACGTGGGACTGTATCTTGCTCACCATTGCACACCCTTCCCCATGACCATAGTAGAGCTTCTAATAGCTGATGAATGAATGAATGAGTGATGTGAAGAAATGAATGCATTCAACAACCAGACAATCCAGAAGGGGGCTCTGGCCCATTCGGGATACGAAGTCTCAAAACACAAGGGGCTGATGAATATTTCACATTAACAAAGGGATTTGAGGCATTTTTTCAGATATCAAAAATACAATAATCTTTCACTTTTCTAGTTGAAGCTACAGGCAACACCACGCATCCACTCCTCTTCCCAAAACCCTCACCAGCCCTCTCCCTGTGTCCTTCAGGAAACCAGGTCCTATTGGTCTGCAGGGTCCCCACTCAGCATTCTCTGCTCCAGCCTGGGAGGTCCACCTGACAAGGCAGTCCCACTGACCCTGGGGGCCCATTCCAAAGTCTAGCTCTAGCCCTGTGGAGACTTGGGGACGTCCTAATTCTCCTGATTAGCTCAAGGTGTCACAGGTTCCCGGCCTCAAGGATTACTTTCCCCAAAGACCCTTCTGATGGAGATCCTATTTCCTCCAGGAAGAGCCCTGAGAACTCTGCATTTTGAGTGAGAGGCAAGTAATAGCCATGAAACCCAGGAGAGGGCAAGTGGGAAAGAGCTGCCGGCCCTGGAGTTCTGCATCAGGGACCAAGGCTGCTCTGCTCTGGGGTTTGCAGCAGGTGCTCCCCCCCCCAGGAGCTGCCACCTCCCTCGGAAAAGCCAACTCGGCACTGGGAGATGTTAAACTTAGGTGTTTGTCTTTTTTCTGTTCATTACTGGCAATCGGGCCCATTTAAAACAGTACATGTCCAGCATGTTTGTCGACACACACCTGTAGTCCTAACCCTCCTGAGGCTGAGACAGGAGCAACATGGGTTCCTGGCAGTTTGGGCCACGTGGCAAATTCCAGGTCAGTCTGAGGTAACAGCTGCATCAAGATAAGGTGGGAATCAAAGCAAAAACATCGAGTCAAACAAAACACAGCTTTAGATTCAAAAGACATTGGGAGCTAGTATTTGAGGGGGGTGAGTCAATTAATTCTCTCCCCTGGAGCAAAGCATTGGAACCCTTGGAAGCAAGAATCCAACCTACACTGTGGAAGTGGCGGGTACTCCCTTCCTCCTTCCTCGCAATACATCAACCTAGGAGAATACGCTATGCGTGTCTGTGTGCATCGTGCTCTGTCTGAGACGCCAGCACAGGGCTAGGAGGCCAGGTTATTCTGCACGCACATCCAAGCAATCTTTCTTTCCTTTCAGGGGGTCCTGTGAAAATGGGGCCCAAATGCTATTAGTATACAGCAATGGACGGCTATCAGTTGCTCCACTCCATCTCCTGTCTCCCGAGTCAAGAACTACACACACAATGTCTGCAATGGAACAGTCTCACACAATGGTAGAGAACCAGGAACTCAAAAAGTCCTCTGAAGATACTCGGGGGAGGAATTAACAGAGCAGAGGGACAGAAAAAGGCGGTGGAAGGAAAAGGGTTTTTCTCTTTACGTCTAGATTTGCGGGACTCCGAGTCCGGGGGAAATATCCCATGGTGCATACTCCTGCCTAGAACAGATGACTCCAGGGTGCCTTGTAGGCCTGCCTCGGTACCCAGAAACCCCCTGCTTCCCACCCTCCAACCTACAGTTTCATCGCTAGAATTTTACTTTAACTCTTAAAGACCTGGATATTTTCAAGAATGCTCTGTTTAAATTCTGAGGTGCTGTTGTCTAAGGCCACCTTGGACACTCCAGTCGGTGCAGATACCTGGGCCCTGACTGTTGTCTCAGTGTGTGTTCAGCAATAAGCACTAGAGGTAGGATTTAAAATGAACCCACGCCTCTGCAGCCTTTAGAGGGCTCAGAGAAGTGTAGGTGAAGAGGCATGAAGACCACATCACCTGCAGAGGGCGCTGCTGCTCCATTCTGATCCTTTGCCGGTCTGTTTCTTCCCTTATTGCAAGGCACCTGCGTTTGCACAAACCCACCCTGCAGCTTTGGGGTTCCTTCTGAAAGTTAGTAAGTGTGAGCGCTGAGACCAGCTGGCCTGCATGGAAATTCCAGCTACAGCACCGAAGCTCTCCTGCCTAACTTTCTCCCTAGTCCTTCATTAGGTTTTCAGTAGTGCACTGTCAAAGAAAACGAAGCCCTTAAACCTGGGCCCGCCAGCCTGCCCGCTCTTGGGCTGACAGGGGTGGTCCTGTTCCTTAGCCTTCCATTTCTTTAGGTGGATCTCGGATTCTCCACCATATGCCCAGTCGAGCTTTGTTCTTTCAGAGATGTAGTGACATCTGAGCTCAGAGTTGAGCTCTTTTCTAAAGGATGTGTCCAGGCGACAGTTGCTGCTTGCAGAGCCCTCTAAGTCCTCGTTCGTTTTTCTTCGTGTTCACCACACAACTGGGTAGACCTCACGATCAGCTACTCACATGTCACCATGCCTCTGTGTAAACCACAGAAGGACCAAACCAAGAGTGAACCTCAGTGTATCCTGGGCACTGGGTGATTGTGCACTGCTCCTGGCTTCTTGACTGTGAAAAGCAGGCCATGTGGATGGAGCGGCAGTGTCTTTCCACTACACTTTACTGTGAACCCCACACTGCTCTAAGACTTGGTCCAAAAGAGGGGCATGAAGAGTCTGAGCCTGGCGCTTGCATGGGCTTGCAGAAGGGGGGCAACAGCCCTGCGCTTCCAATATTTGCATTTGCCATTTTCCCCGGACTTTATATATAGCACCCACATAAATCAATTTATGTGTTCAATGGCCAAATGGATGAAGCCCCCTGCACAGTTAACTGGTGAGAGAGAGAGAGAGAGGAGTTCCAAGACAAAAAGAAGAGGATGCGTAATGCCTGGTGTAACAAAGAGCACGGCTTGGTGTTCGTTCATACTTTGGTCCCATCACTTCGAGAGGCCAGACATCAGGGTGGGAGCACATAAGGAAGAGAACTTGTCAGGAAGCAGAAAGAGAGACCAGAGTCCTCTGGTCCCCATTGATGGCCTGACTCTAATGATGTAAAGACCTCCTACCCACTCCTAGTAGAGTGGTGGGATCAATGCTAGGCATCTGGGTGATGAACTCAATGCTGGGCATCTGAGTGGTGGCATCAATGCTGGGCATCTGGGAGGTGGGATCAATGCTGAGTGCCTGCATGATGGACTCAGTGCTGGGCATCTGAGTGGTGGAAGCAACAGATGCAGGTAAAGATGCAGGCTCACCCTCCTACCCGTGGGCTGCATGCACCCTGGGATGGCTATAAGTGGGACACCTTACTTAAAACATTATAAGCTGAATATTTTGTGATTTTTTTTTAAATTGCATTCTGTAGTTCTCAAGTGTGATTTCTGTAGACGACAACACCGTTGCAATGTGGAAAGACTGGACATGACTGCAGGCCAAGCCACCTGAGAGTTCTGGCCCTAGGTTTTGGCAATTGTATCAACAGCATTATGGAACCAGCCCCAAGCAGGCAAAGTAAAGGCTATTTCTGAGCCACGACTGCAGAACTATTTAAGGAATAACAGGAGGGAGAAGTGTGGAGATCAATTGTTGGTTTCCCGACCGCCCAGACCGGTAAGGTTCCCTGGAGTCTTAGTCCTTCTGTGGCTACATTGCGTCTCTCTGACTCCTCCTACTCTCTCTATACATCTCTTTCATCCTAACTATATTCTGTCCTGCTATAGGCCCAAATCAGTTTCTTTATTAACCAATGGTATTCACAGCATAGTGAGGGGAAGCCCACATCAGAGAGGCAAGTACTGCTTCATACAAGCAGCACTGTGAAATACCCAAGGACATAAGAACAAATACCGGGAAAGACAGGCAAAAACATGGAATGGCTTGACGCCTGAAGACAGTCAAGCACAAAACATGATTTTCCATATTTTCAAAGACTTAAAGACAGGAACGCCTTCTGTTTAAAGAGGGAATGAGAAATTATAAAATATTCAGCCTCTTTGAGCATAACTGGTGGCTCGTGTGTATAATTAATGCGTGACTTCTATTTCATATCCTCTGCTGCCTGCTACCCAGATTCCATTATGCATTTTACTTGCTCATTGCGAGGCTGACAGGCAAGGTGTGGCCAGGAATGCATTCTACTGCACTGCTCCATAGTTTGTCTTCCAGCCTGCAACCTTCCCTCCAAGACCAGAGGAGCTTTAGAAAATAATGTATTTTTCAAATATGAAGAGAAGTGTTAGTGATAGGTGCACAGACATTAGAGAATCTGATTAAACAGGATGTTATTTATTTATGATAAGTGTACATGTGTGTGGGTAACAGCGTCAGTTGGGGCGTGTAGAGGACAAAAGGCAAGTTTGTGGGTTCTGTTCCCTCCATGGATTATCCTCTGGTCATCAGGCCTGGGCAGCACACACTTTGACCCACTGAACCACACCACCAGCCCCTTAAACAGCACAGATTTTATCTAGACATAGTTAATGATTTTGTACATTCATTTCAAGTTGATGATAAACCAATTGAACATAAAACAAAGATTTTTATCAAGGAAAAGTGATGATTATGATAGTCCAGCAAACACAAAATGAAAGCAAGCAAGTGCCTGGAAACCAGCGAGCAGGTAAATGAACCGCAGTATACCC